GAAAAATATCCATATTCAAAACGTAATAATCACTTTAATGTAGCTTGCACCAACAGTTGTACACGGAAGCAGTTCCGGGCTGATGAAGTATGAGGTCAGCGCTGCGCATGCGCCAGTGAGTCTCGTGAAAACCAACGTTTGTTTACAGGATCAAAGGAAGCAAAGTTTCCTTACTTTAGCAAAGGAAAACCAGTCTCCTCTTGGCTTATATCGAAATCCTCCGACATTCTTCTTTACAAATTCTCGTTTTGTACTTTAATTCATAACCTTTGTTTTGTTTTCTCCACTGCATTGCCGCATTCGTCACTTCCGAGCGGCGCATGCACAAAGCCGACCTCATACTTCATTAGGGCTGTGTATCACCAGCAAAGTCACGATATTGGAATATGGATATTTTTCTTACAAAAACGCATCGATTCGCTACAGGAGGCCTTTGTTCACCCCCCGGAGCCGTGTGAGACATTTTTTTTAATGGTTGGGCGCTATTTATTTAACTTCTTTTGGACTGAAGCACTGCAACACCCGCTGACTGCAATGATAGAGTTTGGAATAGCCAGGACAATTTTTAATATAATTAAAAAAGAAAGTCATATACACCTAGGATGCCTCGGGGGTGAGTAAAACAGCCAGATTTTAATTTTTGGGTGAACTAACCCTTTAAGATCTCATTTTGCTGCTGCTTAGATATCAAGGGTAAATAAGACAAAAGATCTTACTGAAACTACATTGGGAATACACTGCAAGAAAAACTTCTCATTTTCTATTCTAGGAAAGGCCATGCATCTGAAGAAAGTTAATTTGGCGAAAAAATGAAGGAATACTTTTTTGTGAGTGTCTGACAATTAGGCCTGTCACGATAACAACTTATTGTTGTGCGATATATTGCCCCACAAATAATTGTGATAAGCGATATTAGTCATTTTAAAGACCATTTTATGCCACTGAATATATAATCATAATGTAACAGTATAATAATGCAAGAAGCCCTACACACTTCCTAATGACAACAAACTTTTAATTTTTAAGAATATTTAGATCATGGAAATTAAGTATCAAAATATTAGATACCTTAAAAAACCTGAATAAATAGTAAATAAACATTTTCTAACAAAAAGTGCAAAGTAACAAGTAGAAAATAAAATTTGACTGTACTTTTATTTAATCCAAACTGTGTTCATATTTAATTTTAAAGGGCTTTTAAAACCTGCTAGAAATATTCAGCCACGAATTACAACTAACTAACTAACAAAAAATACAACATCTTTTTCTGACGGACTGATATGACATAAACACTGTTAACCATACATTTGAAAATGTAATTGAAACTTACCTGCTTGAACTTGATCGGGGTGTTTTGTTAGTTTGATGCGTTTCCTCCTCTTGAGGTCTCCAATGCTTTTAAGAAGAGGTTGCCAGGTTTTCACAACAAATCATGTACATATATTGCGCAATAAGTCAATATATTGATTATTGCGACAGGCCTACTGACAATATATTTTTAATAAGCACCTAATTTAACATTTTTAACTCAGTTCAGATCATGAGATTTTGTACAGCTCCCAGGTTTGTGTAGATCACTGCAAACACTCTGAAACACGCATATAGACTATATGTTAATTTAATTTAACATTCAGTTTAATAATCGTACTAGGCCAAATCATGATTTCAATATTATTTTCATTATTTCTTTAAATTTGTCAGTGAAAATTTGATACAGACTCAAACCCAATTTGGGGAAACGGTGTAAGAAGAGAAACAAAAGAAAGATAAAAAAAGTGTAAAAAAAAAAAAGGATACAAATAAAATTTTGGGCCAGGATTACACAAAGCAGACATTGTGTTTTAAAGCCAGCAAAGTCACACTATAGGGGGAAAGGGAATTAAGGACAGAAAAACACATACAGCAAGAAAAGGGGAACAGAAAAAGAAGCTGGGAAGAAAAAAGAATAACACTAACAAAACAACAACATAAAGCTCAGTAGGTTCAGTAACAGCAACAAGGGGAAATGGAGAAATGTTAAAAAAAAGAAAAAAGGAGAGTCAAGGACTTAAAGAGGGAGAGCAAGAGCGAGAGGAGATAATACAGAAGGTGCATGAAATATGCGGAGAATATGGGGACAGCAAGGGGACAGAAGAGCCTGGAAAACACATCCGGACAAAAAGCATGTGACTTTCTGAAGCAGGATTAAAAAGATGTAACCAAAAGCCCTTCACTGTTGGATGTGTTTTACCGTGGATCATGGGGTGGCCCTTCCTGTCCTGTCTTGATAAACTGGATGGCATGCCCACTGCGCTGGCTGTGCTCCATCAGGACAGATACAGGGTTCTTTCCTCCAGGTAGAGAGCGAGACAGAGCCTGGGGCGGAGTATCCGAACCACCCTTTAGAAATGAGACAAAGAGAAAATAAATACATTTTATCTTGATTTAAATCAGTATTATCTTTAAATATTTCCACACAAAATATTTTATACACAACATTTTGAAAACATACATATACAAGTTCAGTTAAAGGTAAAATATGATATCAAAACTGCTATGAGAGATTAAATAACTAGGTTTCAAGCCAGTGTCAACTTTGACAATGAAAACTGAAAACAGACATACTATCATATCATCTGCCAGGTCAGTGGTTGACTCAGCTCCCTCCATGCTTGGTTCTTCCTCTTCGTCACCACCTGCTCCTTCCAACTCCCTCCAAAGAATCTTCAGGGTTGTGGCTGCAGCATCTTTTTTGGCCACTTTTTTGTTTAGACCCTCAGCCGGTGGAAACCTACGGCCATCTAACATGACCTGCATCCGAAACCTTGAGACAAAAAGAAAAACCTCAAACTATTAATCCATGAAAACACAGTTGGTGTGTTTCTACTAATTCTTAATCATTTAACCCCATTTCACCAAAATTCACTAGCAAGAGAACATAACTTATGTAACATCTCCAAAAAGCCTTGGCTGTTTCACCAATTCTTAAATTAATCACCGCTGTGTAGCAGCTTTCCAAACATTCCAAAAACACACTTCCAAAAAAGCTAGAGGCAAAGACTGTATTAACACAGACAAACAAATGCTCAGATGCACCCATAAACAAGCTTGTCATCAACTAACCTGGGATCATGTGAGGGTCCAGACTGGTCCAGAAGCAGGAATTCACAAGTGTGTCCAAGATGCTGAGCAAACTCCATCAGTCCGCTAACTGGGTTCTTACTGAGGGCCTCTTTCAGTTTCTGCAATCTGCTTGACTCCAGGCTTTGGGCCGGGGGAGGGGGAGCAGCCAATGAAACGGCAACCTTGGAGCGAATCGTGTTCAGGAATTCTGGAATATCGTCAGATGCCCACTGTGAACATTCTCCTCCATTACTGGCCATATCCTGATAGTAGGACAACTGATCGGGAGGAGGTTGGAAGAAGTGGAAGGTGGAAGAGGAAAGTTCACTGGGTTTGGGAGGTATCGGCTCAAGGCCAGGCATGTCAAGCTTCGTGTTATCAAATGTGTTGTTGTCTAAAATATTATCCAATAGATTTTCTCCCCCATCCATTGGCTCTGCTGCGGTACCACCTGAAAACTCAAATCCATAATTTACATTTGTAATCCCTTCAGCTGCAAAGTTCAACATCTCTGCACTGTTTACATCCTGTATTGCAGTAGCAGCGACTTTTCTTTGGCGGCCCATCTTTTCCTGCCGGTGTGCACTAAGCGACCAGGTATGTGGTGTAACTTCGGTGTCACGACTTACGTCACCTTGTTTCTCCATGGCATAGAGTGTGGGATTAACCTGCTTGGCACTTCGCAGGCCAAGGTTCTTGGCAATCACAAGCGCACTGCCTGTACCTGCTTCATAGAGGTACTGTAGGATCTTCTCTTTGCAATCTTTAGAATCGGCCATTGTTGACAATGTTACTGACTGCACAGCAGGTAAAAGAGTCTTTTGATTCTGGTCAGGAAGCAATGTTTCACAGGTATCTTCAACTTCAGAGTCCTCCGACTGGTCAGTGGAATCGCTGTCAGCCTCAATGAGGGTCTGTGATGCAGAGGGAGCACTGGTGCTGGTGAGATCCCCTCTAACCTCTTGGCTTATGGATGACTTCTGACCTGGCCTTTTCTCAGTATCCTTTGAAGACTGCGTTTGGTCTCTCTCTTTGATGGGCTCACCGTCCTCTTCCTTGCGGTGTCTCCACAGTGGAGGAATCTCACCTTGTTTCACTGCTTGGTTTGTCCGTAAGAGGGCATATAAAGCCTTATTAACAATTGCCTTGGGAAGGCCGAGCTTTTTACCCAAGGCCCTGGCCTGAATGGTCTCGTCTGGCCCGAGTGACGTCAAAAAAGCAAGGACCTGTTGCTGGATCTCAGGGGTCAAATACAGAGACTCTCTGACCGAGCCAGGAGAACTGGAAACCTCGTTGGCAAGGCTACTGCAGGACGAGGTGTCAGAGGTGCCCACCCTTGTTATCCGGTCACCCAAACTCAGACTATGAAGGCCCGAGGACAAATCATCTGCCTGTGCATTCCAGTAGTGCTTAGTGTATTGATTGGGATAATACTGTCCCTTCTGGAAATGATGATTCCAGTGTGGCTTTCTCTTAGGTCCAGGTGTATTTCCGAAGTTCTGCTCCCTTTGCCAGTTTCCTCGGCCTCTGCCGTAGCCGTCTCTTCTTCCAAAACTGCTACCACTTGTTTTAAAGTCACGATAACCTGCCTGGTACTGGATAGGCCCAGTAAAGTCCTCTTCCCCTCGGCCAGAGGTTTGGGACCCTCGCTGCTGGGGTGCTTTGAACTGTGGAGCCTGTGCACTTTGCCCCCTGAGGAACTGCACCTGCTTTTGTCGGAAGCTTACACCATTTGAGTCTGAGATCTGATCACTGCCCTGCTGGGGGGATGCCCACAGGGGTGGATCAGAGGGGCTAGGGGGAAAAGGACGACCACGTGGAGGCACGCCAGGAGCACCCGGGCAAGTGGAGTAAAGGGAAGGGTGTGGATAGCTTCCAGATACGGGACTTGGGACACGAGGGCCCCGTGGGTGACCAGTGGTTGTGTGGGAACGAAACTGAGGTTTTCCCTGTTGGGGAGGGAGGGAGAATCGCTGGCAATCTTTGTGAAACCCTCCTCTACCTCTGCTCATAGCGCAGGGGTGGGGGGCGAGAAGGGCGTAGCGTCGGGCTTGGTGGATGGGATGTGTGCACGTGTTAGGATGACTCTCAGGTATCTAGATGTAACGTCACAACGATACCAAAGGCTTAGTCTGTGCACCGCTTCTTCTGCAGAGAGACAGAGAACAACAGAGAAATCCATGAAAGAATGCAAAGGGGACACATGCTTTCCGATGTTGCAGTGTCACTGTACAGACACACAAATCCTGTCGGCACATTTCTCGGCAACCCAGTACACTGTAATTTGAGGACTTGGTAAAAGGCGCACAGATTAATTATTCATGCTTACTGTGACATAACCAATTTATTTCTGGCTTAGTGAGTAATTTGCAGATACTTATGATGAGGGAAAGTGGTCATGGGTATTAGAGGAAAACACTTTATGCGGCGGGGCAATTTTTTTGACCAATGTTGCTTGGTCACTTTCCCATTGAGAATGGGCAACAAATTTCTATCTGGATACTTTAGATCAGTCGTAGGCCCTGTGTCTCATCTGGTTGCCCGTTGACGGCAACATTGCCCAGAAACATTGCTCAAACAGTTGCCCCGTGTATCATCAGCCTCAAGGACATTTTCTCCCAATACGAGCAACTATATTAGGTAAAGTACAACGATGAGTAAAGCTGTTTTTTAAGAGACTTGCAAAACATTGCGAGATGTCAGTGAAGCTAACACTAGTTTACAAAATGCAGTACTCAACAGCCTACTATAGGTAGTATGAATTGCTGTGAGTTTAAAATAAGTTGCTTATTAAGACTCTACAGTCCTCATAACACAACAGGTCAATAGGCAGCACTTATCCCGCAAATTCATTATTTCTAATTGATTCAGGCAACAATAGCTCAAAAAAATAGCAAGGTTATGACACATTACATAAGACACAATCAAAAAGCTGAATATGAGAGCTACATTTCTAACCACATACATTCTCCACTTTATCATTTGTTAGACACCAGTAAACCAGGGGTGTCATGGTTCAAATTTTTTCACGGTTCAGTGCGTATTGCAGTTTTGGAGTCAAAGCAGCAGGACTGATTGATTATAGGTAATAATAGTAAATATAACGAAACTGAGGTTTTCCCTGTTGGGGAGGGAGGGAGAATCGCTGGCAATCTTTGTGAAACCCTCCTCTACCTCTGCTCATAGCGCAGGGGTGGGGGGCGAGAAGGGCGTAGCGTCGGGCTTGGTGGATGGGATGTGTGCACGTGTTAGGATGACTCTCAGGTATCTAGATGTAACGTCACAACGATACCAAAGGCTTAGTCTGTGCACCGCTTCTTCTGCAGAGAGACAGAGAACAACAGAGAAATCCATGAAAGAATGCAAAGGGGACACATGCTTTCCGATGTTGCAGTGTCACTGTACAGACACACAAATCCTGTCGGCACATTTCTCGGCAACCCAGTACACTGTAATTTGAGGACTTGGTAAAAGGCGCACAGATTAATTATTCATGCTTACTGTGACATAACCAATTTATTTCTGGCTTAGTGAGTAATTTGCAGATACTTATGATGAGGGAAAGTGGTCATGGGTATTAGAGGAAAACACTTTATGCGGCGGGGCAATTTTTTTGACCAATGTTGCTTGGTCACTTTCCCATTGAGAATGGGCAACAAATTTCTATCTGGATACTTTAGATCAGTCGTAGGCCCTGTGTCTCATCTGGTTGCCCGTTGACGGCAACATTGCCCAGAAACATTGCTCAAACAGTTGCCCCGTGTATCATCAGCCTCAAGGACATTTTCTCCCAATACGAGCAACTATATTAGGTAAAGTACAACGATGAGTAAAGCTGTTTTTTAAGAGACTTGCGAAACATTGCGAGATGTCAGTGAAGCTAACACTAGTTTACAAAATGCAGTACTCAACAGCCTACTATAGGTAGTATGAATTGCTGTGAGTTTAAAATAAGTTGCTTATTAAGACTCTACAGTCCTCATAACACAACAGGTCAATAGGCAGCACTTATCCCGCAAATTCATTATTTCTAATTGATTCAGGCAACAATAGCTCAAAAAAATAGCAAGGTTATGACACATTACATAAGACACAATCAAAAAGCTGAATATGAGAGTTACATTTCTAACCACATACATTCTCCACTTTATCATTTGTTAGACACCAGTAAACCAGGGGTGTCATGTTCAAATTTTTTCACGGTTCAGTGCGTATTGCAGTTTTGGAGTCAAAGCAGCAGGACCGATTGATTATAGGTAATAATAGTAAATATAAACAAAGGCACAAAATAAGTGTCAACAGGTCAGAGGTAGAATGTTCTGTAGGAACTAGGGCTGCACGATTATGACAAAAATCATAACTGTCGATTATTCGTATGAAATTGTAATTGCGATTATTAATTACGATTATCACAATTTACATTGAATGATGTTCATACCATTGTTTGATGCAACTGCATGCCGTATTTTTATATGAAAATAAACAAGCTGAAAACACTAACTGAAAAACCTTTTCTATAGTATTAAGCCTCAAATGTCAAATATACATCGGATTGGTTTCTTCTTTAAATTATAAAAAAAAAAAAACATATGAATGGTATTATAATGTTATACTAAAACTAAAACAATGGAAAAACCCTTAAGATAACATGTAGAAAGAAAAAAACATATCTTAAGCGTGCAGAATAACATAAGCGGACTTTGAACGATTAATTGCCGCTTTGAACGATTAAGTAATTGTGGCATCCATAATTGTAATTGCGATTAGAAATTCGATTAATTGTGCAGCCCTAGCAGGAACACATTTAGTCTTCTAAAAACAGTAACACGTTACGGTTATCATAATCTCATTACAGTTAACAATGTTCAAAAAAATAAAATGCAAGGTAAAAACCCAACAAAAATGACAGCGATAAAAAAAAAACAGCAGTTAAGAAAGTATCTGATCATAGCGATGTGGATATTGCAATTTGGCACTCCAGTCAATTCACATCAGATCACATTTATTTATATAGTGCTTTATGCAATAGATTGTTTTAAAGCAAGCAGCTTTACAGTATTAACCATGAAAAAAAAGTGTCACTTTCAATTCGAATTACAACTTGACATCAGTCAGTCTTTTACGTTTCCATACAGTTAGTTAAATGGCGAATGAGCCTGTAATGTCTCTTTGCCTGTAATCCCATTTTGTGTGCCATATCTATATTTGTTTGTATTGTACAAAAATAACTGTAATAACACTTTATCATTTTCAAAAGCTGAAGTGATTGCCTTGTTTTATTTATTAGAATATGTATAACTCAATATTTTAACTAATTGCAAAAGCTGAATAATCATTCAAAGCCTACTGATTAACCAATGAAATAAAAAACAACTATTAATTGATTATTATTGTGATTATTAATCGATTATTCATTCTAATAACTTAATATTATGGTTTGTTTTTTTTACAGAGAACCGTTACATCCATACAGTGTACAATTCAATATTTTAACTGCTATAAAAATCACATACCTGATTTCACAGCCTTTCACCAAATACCAACACAGACAAGAGAATTCCGCACAGACTCTGGCTTACTGTGACCCTGATGCAGCTTCACACGTAACTTCAGACATAACAGCTCACTCTCTAAATAAACTGAAGCGAGAGGGAAAGTGATTCTGCTCACTCACATTCCACATGCTCCATGTGCATTAAGAAATGATACTTGTGAATATTGTAGTTTTGGTGTCCTTTCATCAGTTCCCAACCTAATTCTGGCAATATTGTAGTTTTGGTGTCCTTTCATCAGTTCCCAACCTAATTCTGGCATTATAGAGGCCATCCCTTAATAGACTTTATTAACATAGCATAAAAATTGTATCAGAAGGTGATTTTATTAAACCATGTCAATGCATGGTACTTTAATTACCACTTGTTCGCTCGAACAATAAAAGTACAGTAACAGACAATGGCTTAGCTTGAAAAGGCCTAGGAGGGTAGAAAGCTTAGCCAATTAGTATAAAAAAAAAACTGCTTTCAAAACTGTGAGCTGAAGTAGATGGGTTATTGAAAAGAATTTTGTACTTAAATCACTTATTTTATTTTAAAGGATTAGAAAATATGGTTCACAAAATAGGGGAATTGTTTAAATGTATAGAAAGGTTTCCCACACCTCTTAAACACATAATTTTCTTGATTTCTCTGCATAAATGTAATAAGGATTTTTTTTAAATCATTCATGTGCATAGAGATTGCATTTACAAAAGGCCATTTCCAACCAACAAAACAGCATATCCACGATACAAATGACTTTTCCACAACCTCTCAAGATTTTAAACATTTTCATGACTTTGGTAAATTGGTCCAATCTCTCAATTTTAAAATTCCCTTTTAAAATTCTCAATATGAGAAGCCTGTATAGAACAGTTTTGTTATACCACCCAAAGGCACAAATGGGACATAAAAGGATGAAAATAGCAGGGTGCTTATTACAAAACTCTAGTATCTAATGTCTTTAAATATTTACAATGAATTACTGATTCGTTCTAGTTCAGATTCTGCAGTTCAGTCACTTTGACAACTTAGAATATTATATAACCTACATTAGTAAAATCCCATTCAGATGAAACCAACCCAAGAGATCACATTAAAAAGCTATACATACCTCAAAAACAACTTAAGGTAAAAAGATAGATAAACCTGACACAGATCACCCAGATGAGGCCCAGACTCGTGCACTGACTAAACGCTGTTCCGCATGAAAACTGAACTCCAGCAACGCCTTTTGCAAACGTTTTGGGTCCACAAACTCCACTATACGAGATGCTCCCGAGACTTGTCTTATTGCTTTTGAAAAGCGTGTTGCAAAAGTGATATCAGCAATGAAAGAAAAAAAAGAAAACGCGTAAAGGCGGAGTGTTGCTAACTAGGCACGTATCACGTTAAATTTCGCTTTTCATTCTTCTCCAAGCTCTCAAACTGTTGCTAGCAACTTACGCAGAACACGCATGTCTCTAAACTGACGGCAGGGGGCGCCATTATTCAAAGCGTTTGAAAGTTCATCAACATAATACAGCTTCACAAAGGGTAATTACACCATTTAATTCTAATACAATGACAGGTGGGTAACACGTGTCAGAACATGTATCTATATACACCAAGCAATCATCCCTAGGTATATTAAATATTGAAAGAACTCATGCGGGACGACTGTATTCATATTACTGCATATCAGTTAACAGCACGACATATTAATACTGCATCGCACTACTCACTTTATCATAGCCGTTGAACTATTGGTTTCGTTTCAGATTTCACCAGCCAGCAGACTGAAAGTAAACCTCCACCTGCGACCCTCCCAGATGCATAATACATGAGGTTACAGTACCGTGACCGACATGAAGCTGCACTGCAGTTTATAACCTCCTACCGAAGCCTGAAGTGCAAATTAAAACGTCTTCAGCAGCGCGTGCCTCGACTTCACTCCCCTAAAAGAAAACAGTCCGAAAGAATAGAGGTCATGTGCGGACAAATGTCCCCCGGAGGCCCTTAATAACCCAGTTTATCCAATACGCAGTCACGCAGAGTTGCAACTTTTGTAGCTCAGGGCTTTAGGATACACAGCATCAAAGACAGAATAACAGCCACTGCTTTCATCGCCATATTCAGGAGATTATGTATAAAAGTATTCTTTGTAATGTTCATTTAAATCTATGATTAATATTATAGGCATCGTATTTTTTTTCCGTCACTGTATTTGTGTGTGTTTTGATGCTCTGGCAAATTATGAGAAAATATCAAGACCAATAACGTACTTCGAAATGAATATCGTAATGCTGTGGTGGTGCCACGGTGAAGTGACTGTATTAGGTGATAACATGGTACTTTTTTGTTATTGTCCTCTGTCAGAATTTTAATATTACAATACACAAATCAATCATTTAAATGAATAAATGGATCTAGTCATTGACCTAAGAGATATTAGACTACAAACATAGACGAAAAGCAGAGACCCGTAGGGAAAAAAAGCACTCTGGTATTATGGTTATTTTATTTTTATTTGTTTGTTCTTGCTCAACACAGACATGTCTTTATAAACTAGCCCTGTGCGTAATCTTCTTTAGCAAGTTTCAACAAGCCCTTTAAGTTAAAAAATTGAAAACTGAGTTGCAAGGACATCGGAGCTTTATCAGCTTAAATTAATATATCGCTTCAAGTAAACAAATACAACCCGCAACTAAGCATTTGCTACTCTTTAATTCAATTGCAAGCATGCAACAGCATAAAACTAGAAGGATTTAGATGAGACGACTGGGTACTTAGATGATCTGGTATTTAA